GGTACTTTGCAACAGCAGTCCCTGTCTGCGGTGGAACCCAGCTCCCCACTGGGACCCTGTGGACAGGGGCTGCTGCCAGAGCAGCCTCCCCCACTCGCTCCCACAGGCAGCGGGGGTGGGGGAAGGCGAGCAGTCAAATACTTCAATTGACTACCCAGTAAGCTTAGGGTTATTGGGTAATCGAGTACTCGCTTACATCCCTAGTTGTAACTGAGGGCTTATCTAGACTACACTAAAGTGTCGAAAGTGGATATACAAATTCCACGGGAATTTGCGTATCTTCTTCCAATTTCACTTTTGAAAGCAGAGCTTTTGAAAGTGAAAGTAGTTTAGATGCAGCTTTTTTTGGCAACCCTCCCCCCTGGTTGAAAAACCACTCTTCCTCAAAAAATGAGGTTTATGCGGTTTTTCGACAAAAAGGGGGGGAGGGTGCCTAAAAAGTGAACTACTTTCACTTTCCAAAGCAGATATGCAAATTCCAGCGGAGTTTGCATAGCCTCTTTCAACACTTTAGTGTAGTCTAGATAAGCCTTGAGATTTATATTTGCTTCCCCGAATGTACTTACTTATAACAAATTTGGCTTGCTTGGCAACAAGTCTTTACTAATGTTAGTTTTTATTCAGTGTCTGTGTGCAATATGAAACACCATTTTGGATTTATAGCGGATATTCCAGCTCCTTTATTGTCAGAGATTGAAACGTAGACCTCTAAAGTAGGGGTGGAGAACCTCAGGCTGGGGGCTGATGTAGCTCCTGGCTTGTCTAGATCCAGCCCCAGAGGCTTGGGGCTCCCCCCAGCATAGGGGGGCCCATGCTTGTGTTCCAGCTCCCTTGCTGGAGCACACAATGTACTAGCCTGGACCCCCTTACACTCTGGTATGCGAGAGCAGCCACATCATGGACGGTGAGGGTTTGAGGGGTTTTGGTTTTTTTGCTTCTCACTTGTGTACGGCCCCCTGACAGATTTTTTCCCCATGAGTTAGTGACCTCCAACCCAAAAAAGATTCCCCACCCCAGCTCTAAACCCATATTTCTTGTGGAGTTGAGCCATCTCTAGTACTCCCTCCTTTTGAGGTTCTGACTGGACCAACCTTTAAAACACTGGTTTATTCCAGGTTGCTGGCCAAATGAATGCATGAAGAGGCAGGCATGTGTATAAGAGAGCACATGCCAGTGGTTACCAGGAGGGTTCAATCCTGTTCTGCTTGAATGAGTGTTGCTAGTGGTGTCAGTGAGAGAAGAATAGGGCCCTGAGGTGCCCCCAGTTCTTGTGTACATTTTAAACAGGACATAACTGATAACAAAACTTACCAAGAATACCAAAATTCTGGTCTTTATTGTATGCAGTGTAGCTGTAGTCTTGTTGGTCCCAAGATAAGGTTGTCTCTCTCACCAACAGAAGTTGGTCCAATAAAAGATATTCTCTGCCCTCCCCTACCCCAGCTTTTCTAACAGCATGCATGGTGTGTTTGTGCATTCAGGGGGCTTATGCATCTATCTCACAAAACAGCCCTCTTCCATTTTGCAGAAAAGATACCACAGCAGAACCTGCACTACCTACTGTATGTTAATGAGATTTCATGACACTGATGGATTCCAGTCACAATTTATAGCCCTGAGCAAAATAAGCCAAGACTATCCTGTGCTGAAGAGCTGTGTTTGCTGCTTTTAAATGATGTGCCCTACGCATGTCCTAATTCTGTGATATGCTAGTCACTCCCGGCTTCTATTATGTCCAGCAGAACCCTAGAGCAGAGGTGGGGAACCTTTTGTGGGGTGGGGGCTGCAGACAAATAAGAAGCAAGGGGGGGGACAAACCCGTATGGCACCTGACTGAGAAGACAGACATTCCCCACATTCCCCTCACACACCAGAACCTGAAGGGGAGGAGGTGGGCTAGTAGATTTAGTGTTTTCCAGCCCTGTGGAGGAATGGCAGGGGCCTGGGACACCAGCCCAGGCTCCCTAATGCTGGGGGGAAGCCTTGAGCCTCAGGGAACGGATTCAGCCCTGGACCTTAGGTCCCCCACTTCACCCCTGCCCTAAATAAAAGCATGAGCCTGCTAAATTCACAATGGTCCGTAACCCACAATGGGTCAACCAGTCATTGTGAATTAGCCAGCATAAATACACACATTTCTCCTTTCTTTCCTGCCACCTACCCTTCAGACTAAAATCACTGCAGCTCTGTTTGCTGACCTTGGTTTGTTGGTGTCATTGCTATTTCCCCTATTGTTTTAAAGAAATCCAAAGAGACAGTACTAGGCCACATAGAAGCAAACTGGATACTAATTTTTAAGAGAATGAGTTCTTATTGTGGAAAGCATTTCTTTCTCCTGTTGGGATCAGATGTATTTGTGTGCATGCAAATTCAGCATATAAAAAGGTAGATACAGAAAACAAATTAAATTATCCGTGGGTTGGGCATTGAAAAAAATACATACGAACATAAGAACGGCTGTACTGGGTCAGACCACAGGTCCATCTAGCCCAGTATCCTGTCTGCTGACAGTGGCCAGCACCAGATGCCCCAGAGAGGGTGGACCGAAGACAATGATCAAGCGATTTGTCTCCTGCCATCCCTCTCCAGCCTCTGAAAAACAGAGGCCAGGGACACCATTTCTATCCCCTGGCTAATAGCCTTTTATGGACCTAACCTCCATGAAATTATCTAGCTTCTCTTTTGTTTTACAAAAACAAAAAACCCACAACAGAAGGAAATAGCAAGTTCTGTTGGCATAAGTCTCCCCAGCATTCTTTTGTTATTTCATGATTGAATTATTGTTTTAGTTTTCTCTGACTTTTTCTTCTGGCCGCCTTTTCTCAGTGAGTCAGACCATTGTGGCTCAGTTAATTTTCTACTGTCCTAACCTTTCCTCCTTATCCAATACATTGGCTGCCTGTTAATCTCATCTTTGTTACTTATTTTTCAAAGTTGTCCCTACAATGGAGCCTGCTTTCCTTAACCAGGAGGTTTCTATGCATTTTCCATGTTGGTTATGCTTGTATCACAGCTTTCATACTGGTAACTCCTCACCCCCTTTTATTTGCAGATTCAAATAAATAAGTGATTTTTACCAAATGGTTTAATCTGAAATGCTTGCCTCTGCACCACAGATTATTGTGGGTCTTTGCCCATGAAAGCTTATGCTCCAACACTTCAGTTAGTCTATAAGGTGCCACAGGATTCATCGCCGCTTTTGCAGATTCAGACTAACACGGCTACCCCTCGGATACTGTATGTTCCCCATCTCTCTACTAATTCCTTTTTTACAAGGGTTTCCAGTGTCCCTTATACTCTCTGAAAAATGGGTTTCTGTTGTGCAAAGCTTTGTCAGATGCATCTCTCCATTGTTGGAAATCTCTTCAAGGACAAGGACAGGCCCAGGTGTCACTTTTAGTTTAGAATGTGACTTTAAATAATTTTGCAATATTGCATTTGTCTGTTAGGCAGTGTTCTCTCACTTGTCACTGCCCCTGTGTAAATGGCAGTTAAATGAGTAGATATCAATATTTACATTCAGGTTTATATCTGTTTTGCAGGAATGTAAGGATGATGTAACAATTGTGAAGGAAACGAAAGGAAATTGCGATGAAATAAATATAGACAAGGTAGAGTATCACTTCCATATACTGTGTAGCTTTGTGTGAAGTCAGACCCTAGTAGCAGGTGTGTCTGCAAGCCACAGGAATATGTATATGCTGTTTGCAGATCAGAAATTGCATTGATTATTATTGTGTGCACTCATGCACAAGAGGACTGTTTACCAGATGGAATATGCTATATCTTCCATTGGCCAAGCACTAAAGCGAGGTAAAATCTGGAGCATGCTGCTGCTGTGGTTGCCAAACATTTTGAAATAGCTGATCAAATTTAATGCTCACTTGTCCATGTCTATCTGTGCTGGCAGTTTCAGTGTATTTGTTATCTGCAATGGACTTTATGCCAAGAAAATTCAACCCCAGTGGGAAGGATTAATGTGCTTGATAAGTACCAGAGTTAATGTTTTGCAGTTATTTGTAGAGCCCTGCACAGATACAAAACTTGTATCTGTATCAGTATCCACAAAAATGAACTATGGATAACCACACTGACATCCGCAGATGCAGATACCCATGGATATAAAGCAGATAGCTGCAGATTTGAAGGACTCTAGTTACTTGTAAGAAAACTAATGCTGGAAATCAATAATGACTTTATCTCTGTAATCGAGTGTGCAAAATGGGCTGAAATGCTAACTTACAAGTCAGGTTTTCGACTAATCGCCTTTTCTTGTGATCTCATTCTTATGCTGTGAATTCAGTTATCTTTTTATTTTTCTTCCTTTTAGGTTAGGCGGCAAGCTCTGCAAGAAGAGATTGATAGAGAATCTGGCAAAACGAAAGGTTTTACAAACAAAGTGGAATCTGTACGTATGTACCTAATGTATCTGATAATGTGTCCACAGCAACCCTCTTGAAATTGCACCACATCCTGCTCTGTATGCTAGTCAGATACACCACTTGGCATACAAGCCTCTCTTCTGATTGCAAATTTGAGGTCGTACTACAGAACAAATGAGTCCAATCCCAAGAGAGGCTGGGAGCGGACTAGCCAACTCCAATAGCAGTGGGGGTTGAACAGAGCTCTAATTCCCATTATTAGTCCTGAAAAGTAGCATTTTTCCTGCTCCCTCTGGAGAATTAGCCCAAATGAATTTGCTGCAAAATCATTTTCTATTTATTGTGGAATATAAATAACACTAACCCATGTATAGTTGTCACTGGGACTAGAATTAGCGCACAGTTTTCCCTGTTAGAAATAGCAGGGAGCTAGTTCCAAATTACGGAGCAGCATCAAACACAGTCAGCTTGTTTTAAATCTCCATGATGACTTACTGACATACTTTGGTCATTCACAAGTGAGTGCTTGATTTGCATGTCAAGGGGCAGAAGTACTTCTTCTGGGATGGAGGTTTACTTGGCCAAAGGAATGGTGAAACTGGCATCCTTTTGAAAAGCTTGCTGTCTCCTAAAAACAAATAGTGTAACCTGGTACTTCAGATAAAGTGTGAGAGTGGGAAGGCTGAAAGGGGAATAAAAAAAATATAGTGCATATGCCCCCTTGCCCTGAGTGTCAGGTTTTCACCTTCCGCTACTCACACCTACATCTCTGTAGGGCTTGTCTTGGTTCTTTGCCTTTACATCTTTTGCTCCTTGACACATTCAGAGTGGAACATCTGCCAGTTGCTGTAATTGCTGGCCTTTAGCAGGGGCAGTAGGATTCAGAAAGGGGAGGGGGGCCTTATTAGTATTCCAGATTATTTCCGCTGTCTGTGAACTGCACCAGAAGACTTCCACAATTCTAGTAAAGTATGAACATACATGAATCAAATTACAGAAATCTATAAAATGTCCATTTTTGCATGGCTGGGGAAACTGGGAAGTGAACTCAGCTTTTATTTTGAGGTATGCCTTGAAAGAATGTACCTAACTGGCCCTGAAGTCATTCAGAAAATAACATGTTGGCAGGAAATCCCAATCCTTTGAGGCTGATCTCCCCCTGGTTATTAGCACATAGCAGAATAGGAGCTATGAAGACTAATTAGTGAGCTTCACAAAGAACACGCCTGAAATGCTGCAGTAAAAACGATCTGTAGTAATTGCCAGCAGTTAACTTAAAAAATTACAGGGTTTGAAAAGGTGTAATTATTTCTGCATCTGTGCCGATATGTATCTCCACCTCCAGAAAGAATGGTTGTCACAGACTCTGGCTTACGGCAGCTATATGACAAAATTATGAACACTTTGACAAAAACTGAAATATCATGAGGTGGTTTGTATCCCGTTCAAAAGGAAACTCCTCAGTAAAGTGGATAGTCAGCTTTTAAAAGCAGAAGCCCTAATTTATGTTGAATTAAAAGGCTTTACACCCACTGGTTATGTATAATTTACAAAAGCCCTCTCTAGATTGCTGCACTCTTGTCACTACAGTTTGTACGGTGAAGAGCTGGGTATCATCTGGGCTCTTTTGTTGAAGATGGTGGTGTCAGATGAGTTCTAAGTATTGAGTTGGATGGATTGAGAACAAGCACATGAGCTGCATTTTGAATTCCAGTTTTCTGTTAGTTTAAGCCTAATCAGTGATGAACTAACATGTTGGTTCCAGTTAACTGTGGATCAGCCCCACTCTGAAAGAGGAAAATGGAAGTCAGTCATGACAGAAATAAAAGAATTAGTGACATTGTGACTCCCAAGCCACCCAGAGGGACTGTGTAAAGAAACTTACAGATAATAGAGAGTGTTCTTAAATAATAGGAAGGTGAGGAAATTTACTAACATAACCTGTAATGTATCCATAAATACAAAGGGTTGAATTGTGCTTCTACACCAGGACAGCTTCAGACCAGAATCTGGCCTAAAGATATCCCCAAAATATGCCCCCCCGAGACTGGTACACAAAAAAACTAAGTATAAAGATGACAACTCTGGCTGATGTAAAGCTCCATTGTTTGATACCCGTGAATGCTCCTGCCCCTGGAGCAGAACTCCTCATCTCCTGTGTGTGTGAGCAGCTGAAGCATGAAAGGCTAGAGCTAAAGAATGACAGGCCATATGTTGGCAGCTCAAAAGGCAAGTTCTGAGTTGTGTGTGTTTTTATATGTTATGCATATACAGGACAGTTAGTGAGGGAAGAAATTAGTGCATAGAACCCACAGGCCATATTTGGATGTCTTCATAGTTAACTTTTTATTAGAAAAAGTTGCTGAGGTTGTTCTTTATTCCTCTGCATAAGGAAAATGAAAAGGGAGGGGATAGGTCTGAAACCTTTTCTAGAAAAGCAAAGCAGCCAACTCATTAGAATAACTAAAATGTGGCTAGAGAAGGTCTCTGGGAATTTAACAGAGAAGTGTCCAAATGCCAGAGAAGT